CCGCGTGTGTTCACGCGGTGCATGGCCGCGGTCTTGTGTCCTCTGCAGACCAGAGGGTTGAAGATCCTGCCTTATTTGGATGACTGGCTCGTCTGTGCGCCCACAGAAGCTCAAGCTGCTGCAGACACGCGCACCTTGCTCGATCACATGGACCTATTGGGTCTTCGTGTGAACTGACAGAAGAGCAACCTGATTCCGTCTCAGCAGGTAACGTTTCTCGGTATCACGATGGACTCTCTCTCTATGACTGCTCGCCCATCGCCTCAGCGTGTCGAGGGCATTCTGCAGATGCTGCCTGCCTTTCTTCCTGGTCGGGCGGCCCCCTTTGTTCTCTATCTCCGTCTGCTGGGGAAGCTCACAGCTGCCGCTACTGTAGTACCCCTAGGGCTACTGTCTCTGCGACCACTGCAGATGTGGCTCAACAGCCTGAAGCTGGACCCTTCTCGTGCATCACACCGTCACAGAAAACTGCGGGTGTCCCCTCAATGCCTTGTGGCAGCGACAGATCGCTCGGGGGACATGGTCTCCACGAGAGAGGCGGCACCACATCAACGCTCTGGAGTTGGAGGCTGTGCACCGCGTGCTGCGGCACTTCCCCCCGATCCTGCGGGGAAGGCATGTTCTGGTGCGGTCGGACAACACGTCGGTTGTTTTTCACATCAACTCTCAAGGGGGAAAACGATCTTTGACGCTACTGATGTTGACCCAGAAGCTTTTGACCTGGGCAGCCACTCTTTTTGCCAGCCTGAGGGCGACCCACATCCCGGGGGTGCAGAATGTTCCTGCTGACATCCTATCCCTGGGGCGTCCACCACCGGGGGAGTGGAGGCTCCACCCGGATGTAGTGGAAACTATTTGGGAGAGGTTTGGGAGAGCAGCCGTAGATTTATTCGCTTCCTGAGAGACGACACATTGCCCACTGTGGTTCTCCCTGTCAGACAGTCCCAGTCCCCCAGGTCAGGACGCACTGTCACACGACTGGCCGAGGGCACTCATCTATGCCTTCCCGCCACTTCCCCTGATAGGCCCAACAGTCCTGAGGGTCCTTCAGGAGGGGCATCTGGTGGCCCCCCGGTGGCCAGGGAGGACTTGGTTTCCAATGCTGCACAGGCTCTGTTGCAGCTCTCCAATGCCTCTTCCCTGCAGGAAGGACCTGCTGTCACAGCTGGGCGGTCAGATCCTGCATCCCAATCCCAGTCGCCTTCAACTCTGGGTCTGGCCACTACAGGGCCGGGCGTTTCCTCCTTGGAGTATGGCGGGGACTTCGGACACACGATGACTAATGCCAGGGCCCCCTCCACGCGTCTGGTGTACGCCCATAAGTGGAAGGCTTTTAGTCGCTGGTGTCAGGAAAGAAATGAGGACCCTGTACACTGTCCTGTTTCTGTTATTTTAACCTTCCTTCAAGCACTGCTTTCTCAAGGTCGCTCTCCATCCACTCTGAAAGTCTATGTGGCTGCCATCTCTTGCTGGCATTCGGTGGTGAGTGGGGAGACGGTGAGTCGTAACAAGGATGTTTCCTTGTTTTTGAGGGGTGCCCGGCGTTTGCACCCTCCCACACGCCCTGTTGTGCCGGTGTGGGACCTTTCTATTGTCCTCGCTGCCCTGCGCTCTCCTCCCTATGAACCATTGGCGGGGGCAAGCCTTGAGTGTGTGTCGAAGAAGACAGCTTTTCTCCTCACCATGGCCTCGGCAAAACGGGTGGGTGAACTACATGCACTGTCTGTTCACGGGTCCTGCTGCCGTTGGAACCCGGCAGGTTCGGGTGTTACTCTTTGGCCTGATGCGCATTTCTTCCTAAAGTGGCTTCATCCGCGAGCCACACTGTGCCCCTCCAGCTTGCTCGCCTTGATACGGATGGGCCTGATGAGCTTCTCTGCCCTCTTCGGGCACTGAAGGCATATGTCAGTCTTACAGCTTCTCTCCGTCAGTTGGATAATCTGTTTGTTTGCTACGCTGGGCCGCGCAAGGGGCAGGCCCTTTCTAAACAGCGCCTTGCACGTTGGATTGTGGATGTAGTGGAACAGACGTACATTCAGCGGGGCCTCCAACCCCCCTGGTGTACAGTGCCATTCCACCAGGGGTGTCAGTGTGTCATGGGCCGCTAAGACTGGTCTCACTCTGGAAGCTATTTGCTCAGCAGCCTCTTGGTCTTCCCCGAATACCTTTGCTAGGTTTTACGGGGTTAACTTGGCCACCCCTCACCCAATGCAGGGGATCCTGTCCCAGCGCACACCATCTTCCCAGTGAGGTGGGCATGTTTTGGGTTGTTGTTTATGTGATTCCTCAGGACTCTGTTGGTAATCGTCATCCGTGCTTTAAGCACCGCCTCTGGCGGTCAGTGGGGATAAAATAGAACGAAACTTACGACTGTAACTACGGTTCTATGAATCCCGGATGACCGAGAAGATTAACTATATAGGCACATCGGTGTCACCGGGGGTCACACGTGACTATGTTGGTATAAGATTCTTGACCTGTGCATGCGCAAGAGTGATCATTCGTGCTTTAAGCACCGCCTCTGGCGGTCATCCGGGATTCATAGAACCGTAGTTACAGTCGTAACCTTCGTTCCCTGATGTGTTTGCAGGCTGCTATAACTCTAGACAGAGAGGAGTAGCAATTTTAATCCACAAAAACCTCAGTTTCACTTTACTAGACAAAATTATAGATCCTGAAGGCAGATTGATCATAATTAAAATATCTATTCATAACCAAAAGTGGTGTATTGTCAGCATATATGGTCCAAATGTTGATGATCCCTCATTCTTCCACAAACTTTTTCATACACTTTCAAAGCACGGAGACTGTTCCCTAATTATCGGGGGTGACCTCAACTTTGGTCTAAATAGAGAAATAGAATACAACAGGGACTCAGCGCAGTTGACAATCATTAAAAGTAGTCAAACAATACATAAGTGATTTCGGTCTTTGCGATACATGCCGATCTCTTCATCCTAACAGTAAGGAATACACTTTCTTTTCTAATGTCCATCATT